TTCTGGAAAAGAAGTTTTGAATACTATTGCCAGAATATTGTCAGAGTGCATATCCTTTTGCAGCATGCAGTGTCTTTAGTCATTTCTTGATATTACGTGGAGTTAGTCAAATTGGCTGAAGTCTTGCATCTGTGATGCTGAGGAGGCCAAGGGACAGATCATCCACTCAGTACTTGTGGCTGAGGATTGTTACAAATGCTTCAGTTTTGTTTTTGCACTGATATGCTGGACTCCCCCCATTATTGAGGACGGGGGTATTTATGGAACTGCCTCCTCCAGTGAGTTGTTTAATTGTCCACCATCATTCATGACTGGATGTGGCAGGACTGCAGAGCATGGATCTGATTCGTTGGTTGTAGGATCACAATCATAGAGTCACACAGCACGGAAACAGACCCTTCGGCCAACTCGTCCGTGCCCACCAGACATCCCAATCTGACATCCCTTTTGCCGATATTTGGCCCATATCTTAGGTCCTTTGTAAACCTTTCCCGTCTCACCTTAAACCTGTGCCCTCTAGTTTTGGACTCCCCACTCTAGGAAAAAGACCTTGGCTATTCACCCAAACCATTTCCCTCATGATTTTATAAATCTCTATAAGGTCACCCCTCAGTCTCTGACACTCCAGGTAAAATAACCCCAGCCTATTCAGCCTCTCCCTATAGCTCAAACCGTCCAGTCCCAGCAACATCCTTATAAATCTTTTCTGCACCCTCTCAAGTTTAACAACATCCTCCCTATACAAGGGAGACCAGAATTGTATGCAGTATTCCAAAACTGGCCTCACCAATGCCCTGCACAGCCGCAACACAATGTCTCAACTCCTATACTCAGTGTTCTGACCAATGAAGGTAAGCGTACCAAACACCACCTTCACACTTTGCCTACCTGCAACTCCACTTTCAAGGACCTATGGCCCTGCACCCCTAGGTCTCTTTGTTTGGCAACACTCCCCAGGGCCCTGCCATTAACTCGACCTGGCCTGGTTCGCCTTACCAAAATGCAACATCTCACATTTATCTAAATTAAACTTCATCTGCCACTTCTCACACCACTGGTCCATCTGATCAAGGCCTTGTTGTACTCTAAGATAGTCTTCTTCATTGTCCACTACACAAATCAATTTTGGTGTCATCTGCAAATATACTAACCACTACCTCTTGTATTCTCATCCAAATCATTTTTTTAAATGATGAAAAACAGTGGACACAGCACCGATCCATGTGGCACACCACTGGTCACAGGCCTCCATCCGAAAAGCAAACCTCTACTACCACCCTCTGTCCCTACTGTCAAGCCAATTTTGTATCCAATTGGCTAGCTCCCCTGGATCCCATGTGATCTAATCTTACTAACCAGTCTACCATTTGGAGCCTTGTCAAACACTTCGCTGAAGTCAATATAGACAATGCTTACTGCTCTGCCTTCATCAATCTTCTTTTGTCAGCTCTTCAAAAAACTCAGTCAAGTTAGTGAGACGTAATTTCCCACGCACAAAGCCATGTTGACTATCCCTAATCAGTCCTTGCCTTTCCAAATGCATCTAAATCCTGCCCCTAAAAATCCCCTCCAACAACTTAGTCACCACTGATGTAAGGCTCATCTGTCCCTTGGTCTCCTCCAGAGCTCCTCAGCGTCACAGATGCAAGACTTCAGTCAATTTGACTAGCTCCATATGATATCAAGAAATGACTGAAGACACTGCATGCTGCGAAAGGATATGCACTCTGACAATATTCTGGCAATTGTTTTCAAAACTTCTTTTCCTCACAGCCTTTCTTAAATAATGGCGCACTTATTGCCTGTGCTGTCGAGGTACCCGAATAGTCTTGTTTGGTAGCTTCACCCAGTTGACACCTCATTTTTAGGTATGCCTGATGCTGATTCTGGCATGCCCTCCTGCACCCTTCATTGAACTTGATGGTAATGGTTGAGTGGGGGATATGCCGGGCCGTGAGGTTGCAGATTGTGCTAGAGTATTGATTCTGCTGCTGATGGCCCACAGCATCTCATGGATGCCCAGTCTTGACTTGCTAGATCTGTTTGAAGTAACACACAGCACCATAAGGATATCCACCAATGCGAAGTTAGGAAATTGTGCAGTGGTCAGTCTTACCAATATTGTTCTATACAGATGCATCTGCAGCAGCAGATTGGTAAGGTTGAGGTCAAGTATGTTTATCCCTCTTGTGGGTTCCTCACCACCTGCTGCAGACCCAGTCTAGCAAAGGTGTCCTTTAGGACTTGACCAGCTCGATCAGTAGTGGTGCAGTCAAACCACTCTTATCGATGGATATTGAGGTTCCCCACCCAGAGTACATTCTGTGCCCTTGCCAATCTCTTTGTCGCTTTGACATGGTGCTCAACATGGAGTAGCACAGAGTCATCAGGTTATGGAGAATGCAGAGTGGTGTTACGTAGTAATCAGCAGGAGGTTTCCTTTCCCATCTTTGACCTAATGGCATGAGACGCCATGGCATATGGAGTCAATGCTGAGGACTCCTAGGGTGACTCCTTACTGACTGTACCACTGTGCTGTCACTTTTGGTTGGACTGCCCTACCAGTGGGACAGGACATACCCAGGGATGGTGATGGTGTTGGTGTTGTCTGGGATATTGTCACATGCTCAGAATCATATGTCACAGACATGATCAGGTTGTAGCTTGACTAGTCTGAGAGCCAGCTCTTCCAGGTTTGCTGTCAGCCCCAAGTTGTTGCTCGGGGGAATTAGCAGGTTTGACAGGGCTAGGTTTGCTATTGTCATTTCCCATGCCTTGGTTGATTTGATTTTATCCCTTTTGAGATTTTTTAATTGCTTCATATAACTGGGTGGATTCTCAGGGCCATTAAGACTCAGGGAATTTGAGTTAGAGAAATCAGGGAGGGTCACAGTGGGGTGCACCTCCTTTGAATCCTAGAATCTCTATAGTGTGGAAACAAGCCCTTTGGCCCAACAAGCCCACACTGACCCTCCCGAAGAACAGTATCCCACCCAGACCCATCCTCCTACCCCTTTTCCACGTAACTCACCTAACCTACACATCTCTGAATACTATGGGCAATTTAAGCATAGCAAATCCAGCTAATCTACGCATCTTTGGACTGTGGGGGGAAACCGGAGCACCTGGAGGAAACCCACACAGACACAGGGAGAACGTGCAAACTCCACACAGACAGTCGCCCAAGGGTGGAATCGAACCTGCGTCCCTGGTGCTGTGAGGCAGCAGTGCTAACCACTGAGTCACCGTGCCTCCCTTTAGCGGGGATGTCGAGTGGTTGGGGGTTTGGGTTTGGTGTTTGCTTACATTTTAGGCTAAAAAATTTGTAACAGAGACAAATGAGGCTCTTAAGAGGTACTTAATTGTTCGGTTAAGGACCTCAAAAGGGTGGGATAACCATAACTCCTGTCCCTCCCTGCCCCGCAATATAGGGTTTGGTCAGGGAGAGCAGGGCAGTAAGGCATAAGGATAGGAATCCACTTTTCTCATCCTCACCTCCTACACCCTCAACCACTGCACTTTCCCTTTAAGTATGTGATTTTAATAAGGTTTTGGGGCATTCCATACTTGGTGGAATGTGATAGTCAAACTGAGGTGAGTGGCAACAACTGGGACAGGCCAGAAGAAACAATGGGATGTTTTCTCAAGTTACTTCTGGAAGCATTTCTGATGGACCTCTTCTGTCCCCAGCCTCGGCCTCCTTTCCTTTCCTCCAGCCCTGAATCCGATTGCGGCTGGATTCTCTTCCCCAAAATTCTAGTCCTGTAGGGGAGGTGATGGTCTAATGGTTTTATCGCTGGACTATTAATCTAGAAACCCTCGTAATACCTGGGTTTGAATCCTGCCATGGCAGGTGGTGCATTTTGAATTCAGTAAAAATCTGGAATTCAGAGTCTAATGATGTTCATGAAGCCATTGTCGACTGTCAGAAAATCTCATGTGGTTCACTAATGTCCTTTAGGGAAGGAACCTGCCATCCATACTTCGTCTGGCCTACATATGATTCCAGACCCACAGCAATGTTGTTGACTCTTAACTGCCCTCTGGGCAATTAGGGATGGGCAATAAATGCTGCCTAGCCAGCCACGCCCTCATCCCGTGAATGAATAAAAAAAGTCCTGATTCAAACTATAGCCCAACCCTTGATCAATGCGTTCAATGCTGGTTTCCTTGCTGTAGGAAAGATGTTGTTAAACTGGAAGGAGTTCCGTAAAGATTTACAAGGATGTTGCCAAGACTGGAGGGTTTGTATTAGAGGGAGAAACTAGGGCTTTTTCCGTTGAATATCAGAGGCTGAGGGGTGACCTTATAAAAGTTTATAAAATCTTGAGGGGCATTGATTGGCTGAATAGCCAAGGTCTTTTTCCCAGGGTGGGGGAGTCCAAAACTAGAGGGCATAGGTTTAAGGTGAGAGGGGAAACATTTAAAAGGGACCTGAGGCACAACTTTTTCATGCAGAGGGTGGTGCATGTATGGAATGAGCTGCCAGAGGAAGTGGTGAAGGCTGGTACAATGACAACATTTAAAAGGCATCTGGATGGGAACATGAATAGGAAGGGTTTAGAAGGATGTGGGCCAAATGCTAGCAAATGGGACTAAATCAATTTAGGATATCTGGTTAGCATGGATGAGTTTGACTGAAGGGTCTGTGTCTGTGCTGTATAACTCTACGACTCAAAGATCAACAATTGTACCTAATGCAGACAATCAGCCTGAAGGCCTTGAACCTGGCAGTGAACACTGCATGCTGTCTCTTCAAGGAGACACATGGCACAAATGTAACCATGAAAGTGAGGCAGGCAGTCCGGCCGAGTGACCTCTCAATAAAGGGAGGCAATGGCCTAGTGGTATTATTGCTGGACTGTCAATCCAGAGACCCGGGTAATGTTCAGAAGACCCAGGTTCAAATCCCACCATAGCAGATGGTGGAATTTGAAATTAATATAAAAAAAAATCTGTAATTAAGAATCTAATGACGACCATTGTTGATTATCAGGAAAAACCCATCTGGTTCACTAATGTCCTTTTGGGAAGGAAACTGCCATCCTTACCTGATCTGGCCTACATGTGACTCCAGATCCACAGCAATGTTGTTGACTCTGAATTGCCCTCTGGGCAATTAGGGATGAGCAATAAATGCTGTCTGGTTAGCGAAGCCCTCATCCAGTGAATGAATAAAGAAAAAAATATTCCCGCTGTCTGAAATGATTTATGGCCAGTTTGACCAGTTCCAGGAGCACATTTCTGAGGAGACCTTCTGACCAGCGTAATGCCTCTACACGGGGTAACCAAAGATCAGAAACATGTGGCTGAAGTGCAGACAGTATTTGAGGAGCAAGCCCTGCATGAAGTGTAAAAGGGGCTGCTCCCAGTGTAGACCTGGAACAAGCAGTCTTCAAGACTACTGAGAACACAGGCAGCTTGAGAGTCCATGAATCACCTATTGTATGGGACTGCTACATGATTCCCTAAGGAAAAGGGGGACAGTCCCATGTAGAGAGTCTCCCACTCAGGGTTCCTATCACCTCTGGACAACAGGACCAAATGCCACCATGGTGTCTCCAGATTGTTGAAGAGCATCAGGAAATGTTGGGTGTGCACAGGAACAGCCTGTACAAGAAATCCTTCTGTTCCAAGTGAAACAGCACATGGGGAAGTTTCTGCAAGATGGCTGAAATTGGTAGGCACAGGTTTCTGGGGAAGATATCAGGGCCCAAGGCCAATGTGAAATTCTGATCCAATTTCACTGCTGCCTGAGCAACCTAAATGCCATGAGTGCCATCTGGTCTAAGCACCATGGTTTAGAGGCAATGGGTGTCATAGAACATAAAACATAGAAGAGTACAGCACAAGAACAGGCCCTTCGGCCCACAGTGTTGTGCCAAACATGATGCCAAATGAAACTGATCCCTTTTGCCTTCCCTTGGTCCATATTCCTCCATTCCTTGCATATTCATGTGCTTATCTAAGAGTCCCTTAAACGCCCCTATCGTATCTACCTCCACCACCATCACTGTCAGCACGTTCCAGACTCCTACCACTCTCTATGTGCAAAACTTGTTGCTAATGTCTCCTTTGAACTTACCCCCTCTCACCTTAAATGCATGCCCCCTAGTTTTAGACATTTCAACTCTGGGGAAAAACATTCCTCACCGATATGCTGGATGTGAACAGATGCCCCCAGTGCCAACTGTTGTGGTATCATCCAGTCCACTCCGTTGCCATCCAGCATGCCGCGGAGTCTGGTCACTCCAGTCTTCTGAGCTTTTTTGGTGGAGGTGCAGATTTCTGAGCTGTGGATCTTTGATGACAGTCACTACTCTGATGGGGGGACAACTCAGGTTTGAAGTGGCCATGTTCCAAACTTGGATCAGGTCCAGGTAAACAAGCAGAAACTCCATAATGAATACCAGTACCCAGATTGATCAGGAGCCTGCATGTCATAATTGAGGCCATGCACGAGATAGAAGAAATGTCATCAAGGTGCACCACCTTGGAGGGGGCTCTTTTTTTGTTCTTTATTCACTCATGGGATGTGGTCGTCACCGGCTAGGCAGCATTTATTGCCCATCCCTAATTGCCCAAAGGGCAGTTGAGAGTCAACCACATTGTTGTGGATCTGGAGTCACATGTAGGCCAGACCAGGTAAGGATGGCAGTTTCCTTCCCTGGGTTTTCTCATCAATCAACAATGGATTCATGGTCATCATTAGATTCTTAATTCCAGATATTTATTGAATTCAAATTCCACCATCTGCTGTGGCGGGATTTGAACCCAGGTCCCCGGAACATCGTCTGGGTCTCTGGATTAACTGTCCAGCGATAATACCACTCGGCCATCACCTCCCCTAAATATAACTCTTACTGCAGGATAAACATGGTCAATCTGCACATTGTTGCAGTGTCTGAAGTGGAAGGTCACTGGGTATGAAGGCACACCATCACATTACCCACCACCTCCATCCCCTGCAAGGTGACCAAGAACCTCAACAGCGACCCAGTGTAGCTTTTTATCCTGGGACATGTGGACAACCAGCTTCTCCATCTTTTGTGCCATAATTTGGGGGAGGGATCAAAGTGACTAACTAGAACCATCACATGGCAGTGATCAGCAGTTGGTTTATGACCAGCAGTTGACCCTTGTAGGACAGCAGTCTGAGCACACTTGTCCAGTACCGCAGGCAACAGGTGACTAGATTTCCCATTCCTGCCAGTTCACCCAGCCAGATCCCACAGCATGGTTTTGATAGATTCCTAAGTAGAGGAGATGGTTGGTGGTCCAAGTGAAAGGCCTGAGCTCCTCTGGCAAAGAATCCATCCACCTCTGACTGACCAGTAGTCATTATAGTCATTACAAGAAGCAGGATTGGAACCAATGCAAGAAGATCCCTATAGAGTTCAAGCCTTAACCACTTGGCTGCGACTAAAGGCCTGGAATTATTTTTAATCAACCTGATCAGACATATTAGGATACACCTTCAGAACAGGAGTCACTGAACCAAGGCCCCCTGGCTTTCAGGCAGGTTTACAACACCCTTGCTTGAATCAATTTACATGTAAACTTGATTTATCATGAGCTGACCAAAGTTATTATCTATCGCACTGATGCAGTCTAGATTCAAAATTTGTTTTTTCGCCTCACCCACCTGATGCATTACCACTGTCTCATCAATTCCACATTAAATGCTTATCTCTGAAATAATCAAGACACGTGTGTGCAGTTTATCAAAGGAAAGGTGAGAATCATGCCAACTATTAATTGCTAAATGGTTTTAACACATTGGTATCCCTTAATTCACTGAACAAGTTTGTTTTTATTCTTTCAAGTCATCATTTGTTTGGTCTGCCTGGGAGGCTTCTTGATCTGGAGGAACTGGAGAAAGAAAAACACAAAGAGTATGAACTTTGATAACCCAGTCTACAGGAAAACTACAGAAGAAGAGGAAGTGGAGGAAACACACATTGGGAGAAATGGGCAGATTGGCCATGTTTATCCTGCAGTAAGTGTTTTCCTATCCTGTTGAACATCTGTCAGGAATTGCCCTAAACAGATTTATCACATCAGTTAGAGCACAAATTATCTGCAAACCAGAGTCTTAACTGAGGGCAGAGTGGCATTCCATGGTGCAGAGTCTGGGTGAGGGTGAAGTAGCTACTGACAACACTGAGTCTGAACGAGGGCTCGTTTGAAATGGGAAATCTGCACACTTTATATCAATTACTTTGCATTTTGCAACAGAGGAAAATGGTGGGTTTGCTAAAGATTCTGCTGGGGAGCCTTGTAATCTTTGCTTTAAGTGTAGAATTTATTTAATAGTGTCACTTGATGGCTGATATGGCCTTCTTGATGCATTCTTGCCTACTTGAAATACACAAAGCAGTATACAATAGGAATAGGCTTCCATTGCTTACAATAATTGGTGTGGACAGATGAGGAATTGTTTTGTGGGTCCTAGTGGTGCCTGTATATTTGAGGAAAAAGTAAGTGTGATTGTATGAGGAGAAATCTTTACACCAAGACCTGTCTTGTTCACACAAATATTCTTTTCCTAGGCCTGTCAGCGAACACTCATCATTGATGTTTTCATTGAGTAAAGCAGCTACAAACAATTTATACCACAAGGACTAGACTTCCTGTAGATATGAATTTTCTTCTGCATTAAATTATGCTGCAAGATTTTCCAAGTTACAGACAGTCTACACATGTATCAAAGCAAACAAGAGCCTTATACATGATTTCCCTATGGAAAGGAGGCATTCCAGTACAAAAGGACACACAAATTGGGAGTTGGATTTGGCCATTCAGCCCCTTGAGCCTGCTGCAGCATTCAATAAGATCATGGCTGTTCTGATTCATAATGTTATTGCCACCTATTCCTGATAAACTTTAAACTCCTTGCTTAACAAGAATCTATCTACCCGAAAAGTATTCATTGACTTTGCTTGCACTATCTGTTCAGGAAGAGAGTACCTGAGACTCATGACCCTGTAAGAGAAAACAATATTGCATCATTTCAGTTTTAAATGGGTGATCCCTGATTTTTAATAAGTGACCCTAATTCTAGATTCTCCCTTGAGAGGAAACATCCTCTCTACATCGACCTTGTCAAGGCCCCTTTCAATCCGTTTATATCTTTTGAATGAAGTTACCCCTTGCTCTTCTACACTTCAGCAAATACAAGACAAGCCTCTCTAACCTTTCTTCATAAGACAATCTTCCCCATTCTAGGTATTAGTCTAGTAAACCTTCTTTGAACTGCTTCCATGAATTTTGCAACCTTCTTTAAATAAGGTGACCAATATTCCAGATGTGGTCTTACCCATGCCCTGTATAACTAAAGCAAAACCTCCCGACATGTGTATTCAATTCCCCTTGTGATATGATAACATTCTACTAGTGTTACTAATTACTTACTGTACCTGCAGTCTCACCTTTTTGTGATTTTCCCCCCAGACATTCCAATCCCACTGCATCTCAGAGCTCTGCAGTCTCTCAAAACTCAGATAATATTTATTTTTTATTCTTCCTTCCAAATTACACGATTTCACATTTTTCCCCACATTATACCCTACTTGTCACATTTTTCCCCACTCATATACCCTAACTGTGTATTCTTGCAGCCACCTTATATCGTCTTCCCAGTATGCTTTCCAACCCATCTTTGTGTGCTACCATAAAATTTGCCAGCCATACCTTTTGGTTCCTTCAACTAAATCATTTGTATAAATTTTAGATCAGAATTCACACAACACCAGTTATAGTCCAACAAATTTATTTGAAATCACAAGCCTTCGGAGTGCTGCTGCTTTGTCAGGTAAAGTGGGAGGCTTCTTGATCTGGCGAAACTGGAGAAAGCAGAACACAGAGTATGAACTTTGATAACCCAGTCTACAGGAAATCTACAGAAGAAGAGGAAATGGAGGTGACTCACATTGGGACAAATGGGCAGACAAAGGAACAGCACTCCGAAAGCTTGTGATTTCAAATAAACCTGTAGGACTACAACCTGGTGAGAGTTCTGACCTTGTACAGCCCAGTGCAACACCGGCACCTCCACATGGCTACCATCGACATACAAAATTCTAAACAGGGGTCCCAGAACTGATCCCTATGACACATTACTCATCACATTGTCCCAAAGTGAAAAACATTCATTTATGCACACTCTGCTTGTTAGCCAGTCAATCCTCTATCCATGCTAATATGCAACCCTTAGACCACAAGCTTTTATTTTCTGCAATAACCTTAGATATGGCATCTTATCAAATGCCTTCTGGAAATCTAAGTACTGTACATCTACTCGGTTCCTTTGATACACAGCACATCACCTCCTCAAAGATCTCCAATAAATTGATCAACAACAATTTTCCTTTTACAAAATCATGTTGACTCTGCCTGAATACCTTGAACTTACTTAAATGCAATGCTATAACTTCTTTAACAAGAGTTCATAACATTTTCCCAATGACAGATGTTAAGCTAACTGGCTTGCTGTTTCCTGCTTTCAGCCTCCCCTCCTTTTTGAATAAAAGAGTTACACTCGCTATCTTCTAGTCCAATTGGATGCTCTGAATCAAGTGAGTCTTGGTAAAATAAAATCAGTGCATCAATTATCATCTTTTTAAGAAACTGTAGGGTGAAGTCCGTTAAGACCCAGAAGCTTGACATTTGTAGCTCCATTAGTACGAGAACAATTGCTGTATTTGATTTTAATGATTTGGACTTGGCTGTGGGTAGGATTGTTGATGGATACAATTTCAAAATTGCAAATGACTTTGAAATATTGGTAGAAGTGAGGAAGATTATAATGGACTTCAAGGCCGACGAATGGGTAAACTTATGACAAATTAAATTTAACATAGATTGATGAGGAGAATATTGTGAGGCAGTCCAACTCAAATGGCACAATTTTAAAGGGTTTGCAACAGCAGAGACCTGGGGAAGTTTATGCACAAATCTTTGAAAGTGGCAACACAGGACCACAAAGAAGTTGCTAAAGCATAGGGAATTCTGGGCTTCATAAATAATAGAGTACAGAAAGTAGGAAGTATGCTGATCCTATATAAAATACTAGTCCAGCCCCAGCTGGAACACTGAGTTGAATTCTGGGCACCTCAGCTTAAGAAGGATGTGAACCTTTTGGAGAGGGTACGGAAGAGTTTTACTGAAATAATTCCGCAGATAAAGGATTCATTGTTACATGCATAGACTAGTGAAACTGGGATTGTTCTCCTTGGAGCAAAGAAGGTTAAGAAGAAATTTAATAGGGGTAATCAACATTATGAAAGATTTAATTAGAGTAAATGAAGAGGAACTTGTTTCCGATGACTGAAGGGTAACCATTAAAGGAAAGACTTAATATGCTTGGCAGAAGTGGTGACATGAGGACAAACCTTTTAATGCAGCAAATAGATTTGAAATGAGTTGCCTAGTAGGTAGTTACAGTTTCAATTAGAGATATGATACAAAATTACTTAAATAATCACCTGAATCAAATTTCTGTCAAGAGTCTGGTTTGCTCTTTTATGCTTGTACATCAAATGCATTTGGACTGGATTACAGGAAGATCAATGAAGGACCTCTTAAATTCTCTTCTTATGCTTTTCTGCAATATTTATGTGATATAAAAATAAAATAAGCTGGTAGAGTTTGTGCTGATCGGAACTACATTTAAGTTTGTCCATGAATGTTGCTGATCTATTCTGCACCGTTTTTAAACATGATTTTAAATTTCCTTTTAAAGAAAAGTGTCGCCTCTTTTTATTGACAGCGAGTTGCACTCAGTATGGAGGATGACGGATTACCCTGAGGCGTGCTGTGCTGCTCGCATTCACTCGACCTGCAGACTCCCCATGTGAACAGTGCAGCAGCTGGGATGATCAAGCCTGGATATACAATCACCTAATGGGAAAATTTCTAACATCCAAAAGATGCATATTTTTATATTAGCCAAGCATTTTACACTTTATAGAGAAACAAAAATTAATTGGATGTTTTCTTGCCCTGATGGTACACTGTACTCATTCTTGGAAAACTCAAATTCAGATTCTTTATGTTTGTACATAGTTGCAGTGTCACACCTGTAAACATAGCCTCTTCAAAGCTATATTTATAAAATTTGTAAATAAACTTACCCAAGTGTGCCACAGCCTAACATTTTACAGAAAACTACTGGGGTATTTAAAAAATGGTATTTATTTATCGATCTGTTTCCTGGATAAACTTGGGTTATGTAGATATGAAGTGGAAGTAGGAAATATTTTCAAGTTGATGCATTTGCATTTTCTGTACAGTAAAACCTTATTTGCATATATGTTTATATGAGAGAACGTATTTATAAAATTGGGAAATATTGAGGAAAATGCACATTTCTGCTGGCATTTGCTTTTCATGTCTAACATATGTAAAGCCTACTGTTTGTAAGTGGGTTCTGATTCTCTCTCCTGTTTTTGACCTCGACATTAGTTATTGTTTCCTTTCAAAAAATCAGCATTCTTGTTCTTATGTTATAGTCTAAACTTCTTTTCAATTTTACAAATGGCATTTTTTTAAAAAAAAAGTTAACTGGTGGGCGGGCCAGTTGAGGAACAATGACATGCATTAAGCCCACTGAGCTGAAAGGGCCCTTTATCTGGAAACAATAATCTTGGCTTTGAGCCCCTGCATTGTGAGACAGGGAACAAATCAACTCTTATTTCTCCACTTGATTGTACTGAGGAACAAATAATGGAAACATGCCAAGCAAGAGCAGAATCTGTCTGCTGAAATGGCTGCCAATTTTAGGCTGACGCATTGAGGAATGGTGGCTTGCACAAGGTGCCAGTGAAGCATTCCTCAGCATCTTCAAGGAGATGGGGCACCTTGGAGGAAAGGAATAATTTTTTAAAAAACTGCTGAGATTCAGTGTGGTGTAAAATGTACATATTAGATCTGCAGTATAGATCAAGTGAAAAATCTGACTTTTGAGCACCAGGAGGATTGATTTCCATAAAATAGCCAAAGGTTTTGTAATAAAGTACACTAAAAATGTTACTACTTTTTCATTTTTAAACCTAATTAAATATTTTTCTGTGAAATAGTCTGGAGGTTTCTCAAATACCTGGTAACCCTGTATACTTGCCTGTTTTAATTTATTTAATTTTTGTCAATTATTGGGGCTGTTGACTGTGTTTAATTCATTTTTATCAGGGTATATTGGACTGGGGGTATCTTTGGTTTGTGTTTGTATAAAATTTGAAATTCGCAAAGAACATTTCAAAAAGTTAAAGTAGTAATCTGAAATGAGACTATATAGCTTTTTGTGGCTACAGTCAATTTGCAAAGTATTGCAATTACTTGTTTCAACAGATCTTGAAACCTTTTTTGAGATGGGAAAAGAAGTAACGTTTCAGGTTCATAACCCTTTATAGGTGAGAGTATGCCTGTCTGTCTCTCCGTCTCTCTCTTTCTCTACCATATCCAGTGTTCATTTCCAGCATTTTCTGCTTTGATTTCAGATTTCCAGCATCGTGCCACCACCACCATCATCGCCAACACTATCATCACCTCCCACCCCTATGAGCTCAGGTGCATGATATGGACCCCTCTCACCACTAGTTAAATTCCACTGGGAGCAGGATCAGACACTTAGTTGTCCATTAATTGTCTATTTAAAGGTTTTAGTTAACTCCGAGGTAGGCTTCATGATGACTACCCTGCCACAGATAATATGGTGACAGAGCAATTGGACAGCATGCCTGCTGCCCATGGCATTTTATGGGCCCCTGCCTATTAATTCACTGTTGGTGGGCCATTAAATGCAATCCAATGTTGACAATATTCCCAAGTTATTATTTCTACTTTACATCCATATTTATGTAATGACATCAGGTTCTTTTTAGGTGAAGCTCACAGGAAGGCTTGTCTCTGGGTGACTTGACCTGATTTGTGGTTCCTGAAGAGAGATATTAATGTTGCTGAATGGTTATAGGAACTCAGGTTTCCCTCCACAATTGTCACACACCTTATCGGAACTGGATATTTTAAAATTTAACTGGTTACACAGTGTAACTTGTGTTTCTAAGCCAGACAGTGTGATTTCAGTCACCCCTTTCTGAGTTTGGATATACAGCTACAGCCATACCATTATTATAGCCTGACCAGTTGTATCTCAACCAACTGACTGGCATTGCTTGGAGTCCACAACAAGAGGCATGTTCAAGGCTGCTTGCACCAATCTAATATGTACCTATTCCCTTTCAACAGACTTTGAAACCAGAAGCAGAAACTAAGAATTTTAGTTTGAGCACCAGTTCATTTCATACTTTCAGAAATACAGAGATTTCCCACAAGTCAGCATGACAAGTGCCTGTTGGTTGAAATTATTGCCTTATATACGTATTCACCTTAATGTCCAACTGCAGATTGATCGTCCCTACTGAAGGTTCATTTCAGAGTATACTGCATTGACTTTACACACTTTAGAATACGCTTTAAGTGGTTGAAGGTGCTGTAAAAATGCATGTCTTCTCCTTACTGGTGGTACTGAAGGATTTCCACCAGGGATGTTGACATCCCTTCTCATTCAGATACTTCTGGATTTCAGCATTTTCAGATTTATAGCTAAATGAATTGATCATTTGGCTAATTTCCAATACTACAGCAGTGACTTCACTTCAAAAGCAATTCACTCTGTAAAGTGCTTTGAGATGTCTGGTGGTCTCAAAGTGCTTCATAAATGCCACTCAGTCTTAACTATTTTTTTCTTAATTTCACTGATTCCTGTCAAACTTCATTTTGATTACTCCTTCACACTTTTTCACTTAATCATTTGTCATGATCTTGTTTCCGATTTGCAATATAATTCAACTCCATAAATTGGGATTTGTAAATACTTTGTACACCACTTAATTGTTAATTAAGTCAGATCAAACAATGAGAGATCAGTTTCACTTGAATTATTAAAATGCCAAGCTGATGCGTGCATGTGATAGTAGAAATGACATTCTTATTGCTTAGATCAAAATCTGTTTCTTCACTGTGCATGTTTACTATATTCATCAATGAAATGTTGAAATTCATTGGTGCACAATATTCATGGAGGGACTGTCTTTGCTGCAAATATATTGATTGAACTCCCAAAGATTAATTGTACTTCAAGGAAAACGCACCCATTGATAGATGACTGTCTAGAATTTATTCTTTTTAGCTGGTCTCTTTGAAACTGGAGATGAGAACCATCTCCCGGTTAGATGTCTTCTGGGAGCTACCTTAAAAATAGCATTGGTGAAGGGTAGAAGTAAACTTGCCACTCACCTGTTTGACTGAAGTTGTTGGGTAGCTCAGAAGTGTGAGACAATAGAAAGATTTCATATCCTGCCAGGAGAAATCTAATGAATATCCGTAAAATAAGAAAACACTCAGCAAGGTCAGAGAGCCTGTTTAATCACAAGACTTTTGTGCAAGATCAGTAAATAAAGCTCATCAAATACAAGTTACCAATACACTTGCATCATTGAGATGAATTCCAATAATCACTTCTTTATTAATAATCACAACTTTATTTCTCTGGTTGCTATGAAGATATATCCACTAATCTCTGTTGTTGGTATCTTTGAATTCTGAGACAATGGGATGCCATGGTTTCCAGATGGTCACATAAGTAACTTTATTGTTTTGTTTTCCTTTACTTTTGATTTCCTTTTGCTCCACAAAGGATAACCTGTATAAGGAATTCACATTTTAGAGATCTATTTACGTTTGCAATCAATTTTTGGTTTTGTTTTGCTAACAGAACCCTTTATTATTTTTGCAAAGAACACGGCTGATTTGTAATGGTCAGAGATTTGGCCTGCTGTAGGAAAAGCACCTGTTTAAGAAAGGTGTTTTAAATATCCTGTTGAACAATTAATGCTAAGAATTATGAGAAGCTCATGCGGTACTCTGAAACAGAAAAACTCCTCCAACTAGCCGGTTAATAACTGATCAGCAAATCTATATTGTCAGAGATTATCTCTAGGATTATGTGAGGGTTAACCGTCTGAAAAAAGAGTGAACTATTTCATATTTGTTCATGGGATGTAGGTGTTGCCGGAAAAGCCAGCTTTTATTGTTGATCCATAATTGTCCTTAAGATTGTGCTGGTGAGCTGCCTTTTTGGATCACTGCAATCCGTATGATGTGTGTGTTAGGAAAGGAGTTCTAGGATTATGAACCAACAATAGTCAAAGTACAGCAATTCTATTTAAAATCACGGTGTCCGATGATGTAGTGAGGAACTTGCAAGTGTTGGTAGTTGTCATTTGCACCTACTATGTTTGTTCTTCCAAGTCAGAGAGATTACTGTTTTTTGTGTCTGCTCCTGGAGAAGGCTTGGTGATTTGCTATAGTGTGTCTTGTGGATGGTGCATACTCAGTGGGGAAGGGAATGAATGTTTAAGGTTTTGAATAGAGTATCAATCAAGCAGGCTGCTTTGATCTGGATGACATTGAGCTTCTTGAGTGTCGACATTGCATTCACCCTGGTAGGTGCAGTATATTCCATCCTACTCCTGATTTGTATCTTGAAGCTAGTGGGCAGGCTTTGAAGAGTCAAATGGTAAGTTCTTTGCTGCACAATACCCAGTCTCTGACCTACTGTTTTAGCCATGGTATTTGTGTTTAGTCTGTTTAAGTTTCTGGCAAAGGATGACCCTCAGGATGTTAATGTTATCGCATTGAGAAATGGTAATGCCATTGAATGCTAAGAGGAGGTGATTAGAATGTTTTGTTCAATACTGCTATTGTTTGGTACTTTTGTGACAAGAATACTATTTGACAGCTCTAGCCTGACTGTTGTCCAACCTCTACAACATCTGGATATGGACTATTTCAGTATGTTAGAGTTGTGAATGGAGCTAAGTGTGATGCACACATCCTCATTGCTGATCTTAAGAAGATGAAGGAGGGAAGGCCATTAATGAAGCAGTGGGAGATGCTTGGTAGAGACTACAGCCCTGTGAATCTCCCACAGCCCTGTGAATCTCCCACAGCCCTGTGAAACTTGTACAGAATTGGGATTTCAGTGATTGGCCTCCAATGACCACACCCATTCTTAGTTTGTGCTTCATAATACCCTGACCAATGGAGAGTTTCCTCCTTGCGTCGCTGTCTTCAGTTTTGCTAGGTCTTTTGACACATTTGTGAAATGCTGTCTTGCTGCACAGTTAGCTGCCTTTAGTTAGGCTGCAACAATTTACTGTTTTGACCCGAGATTCACTCCAGTTAATTCTCTAAAACAATATATAACATATCAGCACTGGAGGGGAGGACACTACAAAGGAAAATCCCACCTTCCTCTTGCAGGCTGCTTACTTTCCATTGTTAATGTTCAATTGTGGACAGCTCGGTCAAGACCATCACACTTCATTATGAAATGACCTGTTCACTTACTGTTTTCTGAGTTCTTGAAATCTTTGCTCTAGATTGTTCTTGCTCCATGTTTCTGAGGCGATGACAACCAAACCTTTTGCTTGTACAACTTGTGACAGACGCACTAGCCAAGCTGGCAGATAAAGAAAGCAGCTTTTTAAATAATATATAACCAGCAATCAATCAGTTCCATGCATTGTAGCAACATCTTCCACTTGCTCTGTGTAACAGCAGCAGGTTATTATTCACTGGAAAAATGAAATTCATATTTAGTAACAAGAAATCTATTTTGATTTTGCAAATATTACATACATATTTTAAAGTCCAAAATAACTGGAAATTTTGAAGCTAAATTATCTATTAAAAGTCATGGGTGATACTTTGCCCATCTCTTCCAAAATCTCAAATAAAGCCTTCCTTGCCTTTTTTTATTTATGGGTATCTCTACAGTCATCACTGTGACACCTTTGTCTGCCTCTAGTTAAAATACGCTGGTCTCTCCCTCAATCCTCACTGTGTTAAAACTGATATTGATAAGATTTTCTATTGTAGCTCACTGTTTACCAAAGCTTCAAACTACAAAAGTCTTCCTTCACTCATTTCTGACTTTGCAACTGACAGGCTTATAAAATGTAACCCTAGCCTTACCTGGCTGCCGCTTAATTTATTTCCTCTTTCTTTTCAGTTTTGTTTTCTCTCTAAATGGTATCAGTCTCCATCTAAACTTGCCAAAATGAAAAATAAGAATACTCTGAACACCTTCAAAATTTAAAGGGAGTTATCTTTGCGAAAAAGTGTTTGGCAAACATTTATTCATGTGTTCTTAATGAGAAGTTAAATCGTACTGGAATGCCTCTCTGTGTCATGTGTGCATATCGGAATTATATTAAAAGATAATCAATTACTTCTCTAGTCCCCTAACACTGCAACTCCTCAAAGAAAAGGTTGGGCAAGCACTTTTCACAAAGGAGTAATAAAAGCATGAATCATGCTTTCGTGAGGATACATTAAAATCTGAGCACAGAAATAAGCCATTTGGTCCAATTGTTTTGTGCTGGTTACCTCATCTCACCTATCAATATATCCTTCTGTTTCTTTCTCCATTATAATTTTATCTCCATAATCTGCAAATGTGTCAATACTATTAATGTCAATTATTCCGTTGTTAATCCCACATGTTTACCACTTCAAATAAAGAAGATTCTTCATTTGGATATTTTTAATGATTGTAATGTATTTATGTTGCCCGTTTTGAATTTCTCACAAGTATCTTCTCTGCGCCTCAATGTCTCTTTGTTTTCATAATTGTAAAGATTTCTATTAGAGCAACCCTCAGCTTTCTCTTTACTAGAGAAATAGTGTGTAATTTGACCTTTTTAGTCATTTCTGGAACAGCCTAGAAAATAAGAACAGGAAATCAATTCAGACAGATTACTTTCATGAGAAAACCTTCAGTAAGACACTTTGGAAACATGCAAACTTGAAAAATAAACTTAAAAAAGAATCTAGATGAACTCATGTGGAATGTGTGTAGATTCTTAAAAGGGAAACAAGGATTGTTGAACTGTCCTACCTACACTCACCTTTACTGGCTCCATCCCCGCCTCTTCGACCTGTTTGTTTCCCCTCTTCTATCCGCCTCCCACTCTCTCCCTATTTATTTCAAAACCCCCTCCCCCTCCCCCTTTTCTGATGAAGGGTCTAGGCCTGAAACATCAGCCTCTCTGCTCCTATGATGCTGCTTGGCCTGCTGTGTTCATCCAGCCCTGAACCTTGTTGTCCTATAATCTTCTCTAAAATGAAAAGATTCACATAATTACTGAGGTCAACTCCAGTCCCCTTGCTCCTCTGTTTAATGTTGTGGTGTGGATGGCCAGGAGCAGTTTGAATAAACGTCAGGCAGAAATCAATGACCTCTCACCTGAATCAATTAATTCCAGAGTGGGAACATTTCTGGATATCCATCCCATTCAGATGTTAATTGAGGCCCTTGAATAGGTAGTTAATGCCCACTTAAAGGCCTAGCCATTAAGCCACAAATGTGCAAGACTATCACCGCATGGGGGCCCAAAAAGCAAACCCTGGTGTGTTTGTTGCAGGCTTCTGAGGAAAGTCCCTCACCATCAGGGGCATTGCGATTGATGGGGAAACTGGGCTTCATAAATGAAGTGCCTCCCGAGAGCCACCTGGCTGCCCTCTTCTTGATCTCTTGTCCTTGAGCTCAGGGATGGCCTGGAGCTGAACAATTGTGAAGTGTCAGTTACATTAGATAGGGCAGGCCTTCCTCCAGAGGAGGTGATGTGGGCTCTCATTGGCTCTCCGCTGGATTACACTCTGCTGATTGTGTGCACAGCTGGCTCTGCTGTGGGATCACGGTGCTCCCTAGTGACTACATGAAGGTCTGTCCCATGGTGTTTGGAGGCTGCACTTTGTGACTGCAATTCCACAGTCACAGTTCATGGGTGGAGATGTTCAACACCAAAAACATTTTGGTTTTTACTGATTAACAGGATACTATCCCCACGGACAAATGTATTCTAATTAGTTTAAAGCAATATGATGTAATGACATCAGATGCACTGAAGTGCAATATTACATTATTTGGAAATGAATAATGACAAAAAGAACAGCCATGTTTACTTGATTGCTGTCCCTCTCCTTGAAGCAAATGTTACTTTTGTGAAGATAGTGGCTTGTTAGACATACAGAACTGTTGGTTGTGATAGCTTGAGGACTCCTTATGATGACAAAGTACAGAATGACACCACATCACAGCACAAATACTCGTTGAATAATGGTTGAAAGGGGGTGAAAGTGTAGGAAATGAACATTTGCCTGAGCAAATCTGTCCTTAGTTTTACTTATGGTGTCCCTAAGCTTTTCTATTCCTGTGTTGGATATTGTCAATTCCTGGTGATAGGGAGATGATGTCGGTGATGAGGAAGTAAGTGTCAAGTTTTCCTGCTGAGAGGGCTAAAACTGTACTAGCAAGCAATTACATTATCCTTTTAACTGTCAGTTGTAGAGCAAGCTTATTGTTTCAATCAACGTTTCATCCTCCTTACCCTGCAATTACCATGACATTGCCAAATTAAATGCAAAGTCAGGGTAAAAAAGAATAATTTTTGGCATGTAAACACAAGACACTTAGGTGGGAAATTCACATTTTCTAAGCTTTCCAGCCCTTTAATTAAAATATTATTGAATAAATAAGGCAACAAATAAACAGGTCAATAAATAAATAAAGCACATTTTAAAAGACTTACTTTCCCAGCAATGCAGGTTACATTCTGAAGGCTCATTGAAACAAAACAGCAAAGCTTTTTAAAAATATTGACTTTCTGTGAAGTGCACCTCTGCTGGGACTTGCAGGGAAGAAAAATCTCTGCTGGGACTTGCAGGGAAGATAAATCTCTGCTGGGAAGATAAATCTCTGCTGGGATTTGCAGGGAAGATAAATCACTGCTGGGACTTGCAGGGAAGATAAATCTCTGCTGGAACTTGCTGGGAAGATAAATCTCTGCTGGGACTTGCAGGGAAGTTAAATCTCTGCTGGAACTTGCAGGGAAGAAGTGCCTAACTCAAAATGGCTTTACTATTTTATGAGAGTTGAGGGGACGGTTGACTAATTCTGTAGAAAGTAAAGAAAACGTGTAGTAAAAATGTGAAAACAGCATCTGATGCCACAGGAGACAATAAAAATTCTGTTTGAACTCACAACAAGAAAGAGACTATCATAAAATCAAAACGTTGATAAATGTATTTCACATATATTTAGAGAGGAAAGTCCAAAGAAAGTGCTTCAATTATTATTCATAATTTTTTTGTATGTTTCTGATTTTTGTTCATCCTTTACTGAAGATGTGGACTTTTCAGTAAATTGCACTGTGAGCCTTCTTGGTTTGTAATCTTAAAGCACTGAACACTGAAACAATGTTTTAGCAATAGCTCAGTGTTGCACTATAGTTATCCAACACTCACATACACACTTCCTGAATGGCAAAATACACCATGAGAGCTACACTGAGCCTAACAACAGGAAAAACCAGCACGAGGCCACATTTGGAAGCTGTTCAAATCAAGTTGAGCTTGGCACTGGCTGTGGAATCCTATTTTTGAGAATGGGAAATAATAATAAAAGTATCAACTCAAAGACTCCATAGCAAGTTCAAAACATCCTCAAAACCAAAATTTAAATTAATGTAAATGTGATCTTTTAGTTAAAGAAACATTCAATATATATAGATGGACATATATATAATATCTATAGCTCCACTCCTGTTGCTTGCTTCCTTATTCCTCGTACCCTGAGCCACACCCTCCAGCAGCTTTCCCACTAGATTAACTCCTGGCCACTTTACATATGGAGTTTAGAGGGGCTTTTTATTCCTGCATTATCATTCAGTCAGCAAATTGTAAATTGCAACAGTATGATAAAGCATGATGGGCCAAATATTGGCCACATGGTAAATGCTTAATGTTTCATAATCTCGCAAAACTTAAATTAGATTCTAATTGAAAAACAAAGTATGCTATTGCATGACATGATGTTGCCAGCTTCAAACCAGAATTAATGTATCCTCTTTATAATGAAAGGTCTGTAAACCAGGAGTCTGTTTTCAGTTCTATTAGGTTTTCTTAGGTCTCTGGCTCTTGTGGCTCAGTAACAGCTAATGTGCCTTATTGACACACTAGTACCTTCTCTTGATAAAAAAACTATTAATACATACAGAGTTAAAACCAATATAACTCAAGTAAAACTAGAAGTTGAATCTAATTGCATGCTTCATCATCACCGTGATATAGCTCGCACAATTTATGTATACAGACTTATGGAAAAATACTACTGATGCTTAGAACATCTGGTTGGAAAAGGGATTGATTATGAGATAACAGAGCATTGCCTATTCACACTAATTGTGGTGAGGGAAAGATTAAGGAGGAGGTATGAAGCCAACTCTTTATGGTTAGGGAAACAGTCTGAGCCAATCACTTGCATCCCGCTCCTTCAACTTTTACGCCACATAAGAGGTCCACATGGCTAATGGGAGATTCTGATCAGGGCTTTTTAAACTGCAGAGCCATCCTTCCATTCTGAAAACTCCCTCCTAGTTTAGAAATGTCAGAAGAAGGCAAACTCCACCCACTTTTCACAGCAGTTAGCTCCTGTATTCTGATATGTAAAGATCCAGAATCACAGACAGCCACTTTACTATGTGCTGTCAACAATAAGTACTTATAAGCTAAGTTTGAGGTTGGATGTCAGGAGGGTAGGGTTCCAGGTGGGTGCGTACTGGGGGAGTAGGGTGTCCCGTGACTAGGGTTCCACGTGAGTAGGCTGCCAGGGAACAGGATGGCCATGTAAGTGATGGGGTATTTAGGTTAGAGCGGGGTGGATGGGCTATAATAGACCTGGTGAAGGGGTTGTGAGCAGTGGCAGCTGAAGTGAGTAAGGTTGGGGGCTGCTGGTATCAAGTCTCTGGAGGGTTGGTGAATCGTGCAGATGGTCCTGTCAGGGCGGGTGATGGAGGGCAGGGGTTGTCCCAGGCACCAGAGGGCAATGGGGCACCTGTTCAGGGTCTGAACATGTAACTCCCATCTTTACATCAGAAATGACAACCTGGCCATCGGAAAATCCAGGCCAATTGTTTTTATCAGTTAAACATTAAAACATAATGTGGTTCCCTGAACTACATATCCATGTGTAAAATTACACAATGCACCACCAAGTCAGGTCAGAGATTGGGGGATTGGGGGTTGGGAGCAACAATAGAACAGGGGTGTCAGCCCTGGAATGAAGGCCAGAGGAAAGAAGGAGGGGTTTTGGACCAAAGTAAGGAAAGAGTGGTTTGGCTCCGGAGTGAGGAGGGGGGGGCGTTGGGTCTGAAGTGAGGAAGGGAGTGTTTGGGACTAGAGTGATGAAGGGGGATTTGGGACTGGGTGGAGGAATGAGGGGCTTGAGTCTGGAGTGTGGAAGGTGGGTATTTGGGTCTGGGTGGAAGAAGGTAGGGTTTGGGTCTGGGTGGGAGAAGGTGGGAATTGGGTCCGGGTGGGAGAAGGGGATAGTTTGGGTCTGGGTGGGAGAAGCAGGGTCAGGTCCAGATTTGGGGATGCAGGATGGGGATATGGTGGTGGGACAGGTGTGTCAGATATGAAGCAGAGAACTGAAGGGATCGGTGCAAACTGCGACCTAGCAAGATCCCAGTAAGAATTCTCAGGGCATGATGGGAGAGCCAGGGCTTAATTATTTTTTAAGGCTATGAATCCTGATGTTATGATTCAGTTATGTTTATAGAAAGGAGATACACAACATTGGTAAATGAAATGTGTTCAATTGCAGTTGGAATTAGAACACACGGTATCGTTACAGAGTCAAAATACATTCCCCATCGTTAAAAATTTCTCACGACGTATAAAAGTGTGTTAAAATATTTTTATCGATCTGACGGCTGGATGACCTTTAATTTTGCGACCATTTTCTAGGAGACAAAAAAAACTTAAAATTGTTTTAAAAGATGCAAACTTCAGTAGAATAGAATGTTTTGATGCCTATTTAAGGCTTATCTTTCTCTGAAACATTTACTAAAATATGACATTTTTACCTGAGGGATTAAGGGTACGATCCAGGAAATCAAGCAGTATAAAACTATGATGTCCAACTTCATTAGGAATCCATGTCAGCTGCAAAATTAAACTTGTAGATATTAGTTTGAATGGTTTGGGCAGTGTTTAATCAAAAACCACAAGGGTGCTGATACAAGAGACCTCCTCATTTACATGTAATCTACTCCATCGGTTTCCGGAAATATTTTTAATAAATTAGAAGCTGTTTGTCTCCACTTACTTGCTGTGCCTAATATGACACATTCATCCATTTGGCTTAGTGACTGCACCACACAAACCAGGAAGACCTAATGTCTAACAGAGCAATTGCCAGATAAAAAATATTCACTGCACCTTCTACAGGTCGATGTATGATGGAACTAGAATTAATTTTCTGACTATTCGTTATTCTGCAACAGATGTAGACATAATGTAAAGAAATCCCCAGTGGCAGAAAAGATTGGTAACTATCACTTTTAAAGTCACCTGTCCCCAACTGAGCATGTTGCACTTATGTCGTATCCCAATGTACTTTTAAACTGTAATGTAAATTGTAACTCATCAAGCCTCCATCGACAGCACCTTCCAAAACCCATGACCTCTACACAAACAAATCGATATTTCAAGGAGCTTTTTGTTTGACAGAGAAATGATGAAACAAAGGAGACAGCACTGAACATAGGCTGAGAGCTGTCTCTCTCTGTCTTTCATGAAGAAAAGGCTTGTGGTGAAAATTCTGATTAAAAACAAACTTAGGACACTGAAAACTCAAAAAGATAACTGCAATATTCTCCGCTACCGACGGTGCCAGAAATAAACTAGCCAGCTGTGGTCTCAGTTTAAGTCCATAAACCTCAACAACATCCATGAGACTTTAAACTGTAAATTCTTTCATCTTCCCTTTGTACTGGACACTATCCCTTTTCAACTTTGCGTGTGTGTGTGTGCGCGCATGTGTGTGTATGTGTGTGTGTGAGCGTGTGCGTGTGTGTGTGTTTGTGAAGGCCACGTGATTTCACAGAGGCTACATGCTTAACATTGCATATTTACTACTTTTCTCAGGCTAGTATTTAATGAAATTTATCTTTCTTACATTCAAGTAAACCATGTAATTTTCTGGTGAAAACAGTTAACAACGTTTTAATTGGGGAACGGTATAACTGTGTGCTAGAAAGACGTTAAACCATTGTTTCAGCCAATCAGTATGGTTGAGAAAAGTGGAAAATTTAAATTACTTTATCTTCCCTTTTCTACTGAATACTGCCCCTATATAATTTTGTATGTGAGTATGTACCTCTTTGTGTGTGTATATGTGTACATTTATATGTGTACCTATACATATGTGTGTGCATGTGTGGCTGTGTATATATGTGTATGTGCCTGTTTGCATACATGTGTGTGCATACCTATGCATATGTGACTGTATGTATATTGAAGTCTGTGAATATGCGCGAGTATATACATGTGTATACCTATGTATATTTGTCTGTATGTATGTGGGTATCTGTGCATCTATGTATGTGTTTGCATATATACATATCTGTGTATATGTATACCTATGTATAGGTGTGTGCATTACATATATGTCTATGTATGTGTGGTGTGGGTATGAGTATACATCTGTATAATATGAGGAATGTGTTTGCAACATATAAAACAGTTACCTGTTTGAATATCACCCTATCTCGGTCCAAATAATCTGGAACCTTCACATTAGAGATTTGGTGTCCTGAATATTTTAGTTGTTGTGCAATTTCAATGAATCGTCCACTATAGTCTATCCCAATCACCTAGTGCAAAGAAATAAAGAGGATGATGTGACTCATTCACTGACATGGAGTGCTTGACAATAATATCAGTTCTCAATCACTGTAGCATCTCCATCAGACACTGGGAGGGCGGTGGGGGATCTTTACCAGTTACACGTACTGGGAAGTGGGGGTGGTGGTGGTGACAGATTTTGAGAGAAAAGGGAAGATGTAAATGAAATGATAGCTTGCAAGGATTTGCTTTTTGAGGAGGGGACTGAGGATGCCAGACTTAAAGGAGAGAGACAATAGATGATAAGAACATAAGAACATAAGAACTAGGAACAGGAGTAGGCCATCTGGCCCCTCGAGCCTGCACCACCATTTAATAAGATCATGGCTGATCTTTGAGACTCAGCTCCACTTACCCGCCCACTCACCATAACCCTTAATTCCTTTACTTGTCAAAAATTTATCTACCCTTGCCTTAAAAACGTTCAGTGAGGTAGCTTCAACCGCTTCACTGGGCAGGGAATTCCACAGATTCACAACCCTTTGGGTGAAGAAGTTCCTCCTGACCTCAGTCCTACATCTGCTTCCCCTTATTTTGAGGCTATGCCCCCTAGTCCTAGTTTCACCTGCTAGTGGAAACAACCTCCCTGCCTCCACCTTATCTATTCCCTTCATAATCTTATATGTTTCTATAAGATCTTCCTCATTCTTCTGAATTCCAATGAGTATAAGCCCAGTCTACTCAGTCTTTCCTCATAATCCAACCGTCTCAACTCTGGAATCAACCGAATGAATCTCCTCTGCACCCCCTCCAGTGCTAGTATATCTCTTCTCAAGTAAGGAGACCAAAACTGCACACAGTACTCCAGGTGTGGCCTCACCAGGACTCTATACAGCTGCAGCATAGCCTCCCTGTTTTTAAACTCCATCTCTCTAGCAATGGCAGACAAAATTCCATTTGCCTTTTTAATCACCTGCTGCACCTGCAATCCCACCTTCAGCGATTCGTGCACAAGGACACCAAGTCGCTCTGCACAGCAGCGTGCTGCAATATTTTACCATTTAAAACATATTCCATTTTGCCGTTATTCCTACCAAAATGGATGACCTCACACTTATCAACATTGTACTCCATCTGCCAGACCTTTGCCAACTCACTTAGACTATCTATATCCCTCTGCAGACTTTCAGTGTCTTCTGCACACTTTGCTCTACCACTCATCTTAGTGTCATCTGCAAATTTTGACACACCACACTTAGTCCCC